TTATCAAATAATTTGAATAGAAAGTTAAAAAAATGAATTTGAAACAAATTTCAAAATATCATTGTAAAAATAATTGTTTCATCAATATAAGTTTGAGTAACATTATTTTTTTTGAAATTTCAATGAGTGTTTACAATTGAACAATAAGTGAAAAATTTGTGTGAAAATATGTTTGAAACACATAATTTTTTTTCTAGAATTATGATGAATTATTAAAAAATTATCTGAGATAAATTTGAGTGAAAATCAACCTGAATTCAAAAAAAATTACAAAATCCGCCACTAAGAAACAAATTCAATCACTACAAACCTAAAAGTAAATTGTCAAAGAAATACATGCAAAACATAGAATTAGCATGTCCTATAAATTCAAAGCAATCAAACTTTGATTTGGTAGAAGTCAAAGTTGGCAAAAGAGTTTTGACATAACAAACAACCTCACACTACTCAAAGAAATGAAAAACTAATGTAGGCATCACAACCATAAGCAAACTTGAAAAAGCTTAAAAGCGCAAAGTTATAAAACTCGCGCTCCCAAGAGCACAATGACTTTGCCCTAGCTTAAGGAGTTAGCTTCAATATTATTCAACTTTGTACAATAATGATTTAAAAGATTTGCCAATTGTGAGTTTGTAGAGGCTCAAGAATCCGTTCAGCTAGTCTTGAAGTTGACCACTAAGTTGCTAATTCAAGCATCGGAGGACGTTAAGAAAGATTTTAAAGAGATGTATGCCAACACAACGCAAGTCTGTCGTGCAAGTTCAAAGTAGTTACATTTTGGCTTGGTACAAGTAAACATTTGCAGATTAGACTCAAAAAAACAAGAAGATTCATATTTTTTGAAATAATGTAAACCGATAGAGACATTACAATCAAAGGCACACATGCACAAGCTTTAAAACAGAAAGTTACAATATTCAAGCTCTCAAAAGCACAATACTCTTGCTTCAATATAAAGAGTAGTTTTATTACTGAGGTCAGCTCACACAACACTTGAAATAACACTCAAAGTTTCAAAATTGAAAATAGTAACACTCGAAGCAAGATAACTAAAAATAGTAGTGAAATTGTAATGACAAGTAAAATTGATATTCACAGGACCGAGAAACAATGTCTCAAGTATATTTATTCATATTGTTAGGACGTTAAAGGAAAAATTAAAAGTTAAGAAAGGTTGCAAGTTCCAAGACTTGCCATCGAGTCTATGGAGTTTCAAAAAGATGTTTGGCGGACCCAGAAGTTGGCCATTAAGAAAATAATTTAAGCACCCAACACAAAGTGAGACTTCCTTGCAAGTTCAAAGTAGTCAAACTTTGACACTGCGTGAATCAACATCGGCATAAGAGCCTAAAAAAACAAAAAGCTTCAAAGTGCATGAAATAGTGAGAAATCAATGGAGACATCACATAAGAAGCGAACATGAGCTTGAATAAGTATAGCTACATAATTCAAGCTCCTAAGAGCATGATGAATTTGCCACATTCAAGCTCCTACACATGATGAATTTGCCGTAGCTCAAGGATTAGCTTCAATATCTCTTGAGTTTGCGCAATTGTGAGCTCAAAGACTTGCCATTGAGACCGCGGAGATTCAAACAATAATTCAAGCACTAAAGATTGCAAAGGATGCTTTTGTAAAGATACATGCCAAACCCAAAGCAAGTTTGCATGTAGATTCAAAGCATCCAGAGTTTGGTGCGCAAAAGTCAATCTTGGCGCAAGAGCCACAAAATAACAAGAGGGCTCAAACTTCTGGAAAAATTGAAAAGCCAATGAAGGCATCACAACCAGAAGCAAACATGCCTGAGTTTGAAGACCCAAAGTTCTCAACAACACGACGACTGTGTTTCTACTCAGGAAGTAGTTTCAATATTACCCGAGTTTGTGCAATTGCGAGCTCAAATACGTGCAATAGAGACCACAAAGTAAGCCGAAGCTCTCGAGAGCACGATGACTGTGACTCAATTCCACAAATAGCTTCAATATTTTCCAAATTATATCCTAGCTCAAGTAGTTTCTTCAATATTACCAGAGTCTGTGCAATATGGAGCTTGAAGACTTGCCATTGAGGCCGCGGAGTTCCAAGAAGTTGCTCAGCGGACGGTGAAATTAGCCACTTAGAAATCAAATCAAGCACTAGAGACCGCAAAGAAAATTGTCAAATAGATGTGTACCAAACGCAAAATAAGACTGTTGTGCAGATTCAAAGCATATGGACCAAAATCCATATGCTTTGAATCTGCACAATCTGCCCGTAGGAGTCAACATCGGCAGTAAAGACTCAAAATAACGAGGAGCCTCAAACTTTTGGAAAGAATGAGAAACCGATGGAGGCATCATCATCAAAAGCAAAAAAACATGAACTTGAAGATGCAAATTTATAAAACTCAAGCTTCCAATAGCACAATGACTTTGTTCTAGTTCAAGTAGTAGGTTAAATATTCTCCAAGTTTGTGCAATTGCGAGCTCTAAGACTTGCAATAGAGGTCTCAGAGGAAGCCGAAGCTCTCAAAAACACAATGAATTTACTTGAGCTCATGTAGGAGCTTCAATATTATCCAAGCTCCGCCCTAGCTCAAGTAATAGCTTCAGTGATACCGGAATCTACGCGATAAGGAGTTCAAAGACTTGCCATTGAGGACGTAGAGGCTCAAGAATCTACTTAGCTGACTTTAAAGTTGGCCACTTAGAAACCAAATCAATACCTAGAGGCCGCAAAGTAAGTTGTCAAATGGATATGTGCTAAACATGAAGCAAGTCTGCTATGTACATTCAAAGCAGCCAGATTTTGGCCCGTAGGGATCAACGTAGCGGAAGAACCTCAAGAGAACACAAAGAGCTTCAGACTACCCAAAAGAAAGAGAAATCCATGGAGGCATCACAATCAAAACTGGACATGAAGAAGCTTGAAGACAAAAAGTTATAAAATTCAAGCTATCAAGAGCACGATTACTCTGTAGGTTACGTAGTAGCTTCAAAATTTCTCTAGTCTTCGCAATTGCAAAATCCAATACTTGCCATTGAGACTGAAGAGGCTCAAAAAGATACTCAGCGGCCCGCAAAGCTGGCCACTTGAATACTAATTCAAGCACGGGACGTACAAAAAATGTTGTCAAGCAGATATGTACCAAACACGAAACAAGGCTGCTGTGCAGATACAAAGCAATCAAACTTCCGACCCCGCATGAATCAATGTTGGCGAAATGTCTAGAAAGAACAAGAGCCTCAAACTGCTGGAAAGTATTAAAAACCAATGGAGACATCACAATCAGAAGCAGATATGGAGACGCACAGTTACAAAACTCAAGCTCCCAAAATCACGATGACTCTCCCTCATCTCAAGAGATAGCTTCAATAGTAACTGAATATGCGAAATTGTGAGCTCAAAGACTTGCCCTATAAGCCACGGAGTCTCAAGAAGCCGCTAAGCGATCCCTGAAGTTGGTCACTAAGAAATAAGTTCAAGCACTAGAGCCCGCAAAGAAAGATGTCGAAGAGCTATATGACAAAACAGGAAAGAGTCTGTAGTGCAGATTCAAAACAGCTAGACTGCAAAACAGTTGCACGAGTAAACATTGGTGTAAAAATTTGGAAAGAACAAGGAGACTCAAACTGCCGAAAATAACGAATCAATTCATTTTTTGATACCTCAAAAATTAAATGACAACATGTCATTTCCCTATCTAGACCTTCTAGATCTATTTTGTCACCAAATTGAACTCACGACGTGACATTCACTAAGAAACAACTTACATTAACTTCTTCAATACTGTGACAAGATTTGTTTTAATTGTCAAAGCAATCAATTTTGTTACATTTTTTCTTTTAATTTTTATAAAAAAATTTATAAAAATTAACATCAACGTCTAATTTTCATCTTGCCGAATACACAATGTATCACTTCTTCTTAAAGTAAGTTCTTGTTCAGAGGAATTTACTTTGAGCTATCAACATTGACTTTAAAAGGTAGAAGCACACAAAGTAATTTAGCACATCAAAATTCATCTTTCTTAGTTCAAGTAAAGTTCGCAATGAGAAATAGAGTCACCTAGCTTATTTAAGCATGTTCATGACGTTCGTGATTTTTGTCCAATTTAGTAACCTTTATATACAAGGAAAATCTAGTAGACTTTTACTTCACATATCTCTATATGTTGAAATACACAACACTGAGAATATACGAGATGAAGCATTTTAAATATCAATCAATAAACAGGAGAAAATCTAGAAAATTATTTAACTAAAAGGTAAATTGATTTAGGACATCATCATAAGTTGTCTCGGACAACATGGAATAGTCATCGTCCGAATGTTCTCCGCTTAATTTAGTGTAAAACTAAAGACTGCCTCTCGATACTTAAGATCATGGATTACATGACCTTCTATTTCTAGAAAGTCTATTTCTTGCTCTGAACAATAGAAATATTTATGAAACAGATTAATTTTTACATTGGATCTCATGTGTAAAACGACTTAATGATAGTATCATAATTCAAACTTTTTATTAATCGAATGTATATATATTATAACAATAAGAAATAATAATTCATTAAAAAAATTATTATCTCGTAAAAATTGAAAAAAGCAATAAATTGGAAGAGTGAGAAATTTCATGAACTACTTCAACACAGTGAAATATGAAACCTAGAAAATTTTCCAAGATGCACAAGCTGTCTGACGAAACACATTATTCAGCGGAGGACAAGTTATTCAGCTTTAGGCAAGATAGCGAAGATACGAATAAACAATAGCGTTGACGTAAAGCTGAACCCTCAGACCCCGTCAAATCACACATATGGATAAAACTGTCAGAACTGGAACACATAAAGATGCAAATATGTAACCTCGGTTACTTCTACTGCATGCAATGTGCCTTTTGCCAGCGAGTAGTTGAAACTCACCACCCACTCAGAGTTGCTCAGTGACCGGGCAAGGTGATTCGTTTCTAAAGGATTTCTCGCTCATGCCAAGAGAAGTAAACAAATCTGTTCGTAAAAAATGCGTTTTGTACACAGTGGGCCGTTTACAAGTATTTTAGTTTTTATGTGTATATTATTTTTGTACAAGAATAATGTTTGACTCATGAGAAAACATGACTCTACGAATGAAAGAATTGCTGTCCCCTGTGGTGTCAATGTAGGATTTCCGTAGGTCGATTGAACCTGAAGATGATGGGTCGTTTTCGTCTCGAGAGCAGCGGGAGGAAGAGACTGCCTTGTCCTGATACTGCTTTTCATTTGGAAGTATGAAAATCTCTGTCGTTGAAGTGCGGTTGCCATTAATGTTGTGTCACCTCATTTGAGGGTTCCAGGAACCAAAACACAGGTTCGTGTCAGTTTGTGAACTGACGGAAATTGAATTCAGAAATTTCCACCTCGGGCAGCGATATCTGCCAGCGCTTTGGGAACTTTCTGATTTGCACCTTCGAGAACCTTCACCAACTTTTTGGAGAATTTCGCATCCTGTCCACCATCGAAGAATGTATATGCTGTCCCTGTTGCACCACCACGACCAGTTCGACCGATTCGATGTATGTAATCTTCAAATTTCGTAGGGAAGTCATAATTTATAACCACCCTGAAGTAAGAACATGAAAGACTTCGGTATCAATAGACTGCATGCATGAGTGGATCCGTACAATTGAATGTTTTTCTCCCATTCTCAGAGAATCTGATGCACATGGGCTGCAACACTTGCGTCTATCCATATCTTCCCACTCCAATAAAGAGCCAACTCCTACACATGGAAGCAATCTGACGGGATTCCACTTTACTGAATTCAGCTTTAAAGTTGCATTGTGTGCGATCGTACCTGATGTCCTTCACGTCAAGTCCCCTGGCAGCGACATCAGTTGCAACCAGAACTGGAGATTTTCCACTTCTGAACTGAGACAAAGTGAACTCCCGATCTTCTTGAGACTTGTCCCCATGGATAGCTGCTGCCTTGAAACCATTCAAATTGCGAGCTAGCTGATCACACATGCGTTTAGTAGAGCTGAACACAAGAATCCTCGAATCTCTGTCTTGACTCTTGAGAATTTGCTCAAGTCTCCTCTGCTTATCAAACCTCTTAATGACCTCTACGTGCTGCAAACAGTTTGAGATGGGTGCATCAGTATTGAAGTAATCCCGGCCCCAGAGGAATGCAGCAAAAGAACAGAGCAGCGCGAACCTTTCAAGAAGTCCACGGGTGTTTCACGCAAGATCGGAAAGTGGCTCAGACTCACTTGAATGATCGCCTTGTTCGCTGCGAGATCATCGGTGCTGCCAATGTTGATCTGGACGGGAGTAGAAAGCAGTTCTCCCGCAATAGATCTTATTTCTCTCGGCCATGTAGCAGTAAACATCAGGCTCTGCCTTTCAGCGGGTAATTGACTGAAAATCGCTCGAATCTGGGGTTCGAATCCCATGTCGAGCATGCGGTCTGCCTCATCAAGGACGACGTAAGAAACCCTCTGTAAGCTGACTGTCCTCGCCTTCAGGAAATCGTTCAAGCGGCCAGGAGTGGCGACAATGATATCAACTCCTCGACCTATTGCTTGCAACTGAGATCTCTTATCGGCTCCTCCATATACACACTGAGAAATGAAGAAGGTGAGGTCTTTGTACCGATTTCAAGAAACTACGTACCGCAGTGAAGGAAGAACTATGTTTTACGACTGAATTTCAACTTTAAATTGCTCACGTTCAATGGATTATCCGCTAAACGTGGTGAGAGAAAAATGTGAGCCCTCATTTCCTGTCATACAGTATGTCAGCACTCAAAGCTGCTAGCGGTCAGAGTAGCTTACAGTGCTAGATATGTTCGAGGAATTGCCAAATTTCTTTGCTTCCGACTGAATTTGGATGACGAGTTCGCGGGTGGGTGCTAACACCAGAATGTTAGGACCGCAAAAAGCTGGATCTCGGTAACGTCGAAGATGAAGAAATGCGGGCACCAAATATCCAAGGGTCTTTCCGGATCCAGTCTTCGCAATAGCTACCAGATCACGGCCCTGCTGCGCTATGGGCCAGCTCTGTGCTTGTATTGGGGATGGTGCAGTAAAGCCTGCTGCTTTCAGCTGCAGGTTCTCAAATCATAGAATCATCCATACATGCATGCATAACGCTTGGAAACATTGTCAAGAAAGAGGGGGATCCTGCAGCTTAGCTTCTAGCGACATGCTCTTCACTACCACAGGTTTTAAGAGAGGAAGCTAGTGTATTTTCCCTAAACTCAGTCAGCCACGATTACGGCCAACGTATCAGCTCCAGTTGGAGCTGATGTCTTGAACATCGCACCGGCGGCGTCGTCAGTTTACCCACACCAGGAAAATAATGACAAGCCAAAGCGCGCTCGCTTCGAAGCTCGAAATGCTCCTGAGATGACCCATTCGCATACATCGGAAATGTCTCGACAGTTGAGGAAGTACTAAGTCGACAGGATTGTACCTTAAAATTCGACCCAGTGTCCAGTATCGATAACACAAATGTAAATCAATAAGTACATACCTCTTGCAACAGAGTTGAGGGGAAGCTTGTCGAGTCAAAGCTGACATAAGGATGTGGAACGTTGTCTCCCTGCAATGGGGCAATTCATTGCCAGTCAGTGTCGATCTTTTTTTTCATTGATTTGAGAAATGTGTCACTCAGTGCATTGGAATTAACACTCACCTGCGCTGTAATTTCATGTTTCTTCTTGTATGCGTTGATTTCGGGTGATGAGTCAACTCTTGGGTATGAGACTACGGATCTCGGTCGCTTGAAGGAATCTGGTGATTCTCCTGTGCAAGGGCGTTTGATGCCTCTACTAGAATCGCCATCATGAGATCTATGGACTTTAGTGCTTCGAGAGGCAGCTGCAGACCAGTCAGCACCATTCTTGTTGATTTCTACTCCGATCGGCTGTGTCGCACAAGAAATGAAGTGATAATAAAGACAGAATGCTCAATGATTTCAAAACTGTCCATCTATCAGGATGATCCGTGTATCAAACCACTTCAGTTCCTCCGATAGAAATCAATCAAGTAGCAAATTCTAGCCTGTTCGTGAAGATTTGAGTATATTGCTCACTTATGGTTTAAGAAGTGAGTCGCATTCTACACCATCATGTCACTCATTTTCGAACCACAAAACAAAAATATCATTGGATAATGAACCAATTGGTCTAGATGCCCGCAGTTTTGGTGAGCTATCAAGATTATCTTTCTACTCTTAGCGACGAAATAATAAAAAATGAAGTCCTACGTAAGCTGGTAAGAGGTATTTTTTTAGAAAATAATATCGCTTGGTACAATTGAACAGTTTGAGACGGCTGATTGATTGGACCGGAATGTGCTCTAACAAAAGGTTTGGCAACAAAGATATTAGACCCGAAAATGCTTGTGCTCAAACACGAGGAGAAGGAACCAGTTATGGTACCCAGTGCATTGATCGGCTAAAACTTAACGTCCTAATGCAATGAAAGAGTGGGCTGAAGTTACATGAAGTAGATAACAGACTAGGCAATAAAGTTGATGCACACATTATGTTATAAATCCTAGCTACTTAAAGCTAAACATTGGAATGAATCAGTACTGAGTAGATAATATCTTGGAAGAAGTAGACCTCAAATGAATTGAAATTGTAAGAAGTCAATATTGTGATCCCCAGTACTGATCCCGGTAGAAAAGTTTTTAACTTTCACCTCAGACGAAGCTAAATCCCGACTCATGAGGAGATTGACGAAAGGTTGTGCATGAGAACGTACCTCACGTCTTGCTGTAGCGACAGACCCCGGTCCCTCCCACTACACTAGGAGAAAACATTTCAGAGGCAAAGTAACAGAATTGAAATCGACTCAAGGAAAGAAAAGCACAAAAAATAAAGGTAGCGGCTAGTTATCTCTCATCCTACAAGAAATTAAAACTTTTGGAGGTTCATCTTGAGGGTGGAGAATATCTCATCAGTGCTCCTCTCCAGTTCCTAGCAACTGGAGGTGGCAATATTGTGGTACGTTATCGATCTTTGATTACACTTCTGTGCGTGTCTCAACGCGAAGTTCATAGAAAAAACATGGACTGTCAAATGGAAGTCGCTGGTTTGAAGATTCTGTCTATCGTTTGTGTTTCACAAGCACCGCACCTCCAGGACACGGGGCTACCTCCTTCAGAATATGACGAGCATCTTCGAGTGCTTAATGTTTGTAAATGGTTGATTGTGGGTGAGGGATAATTAGCATAAAGTGAGGGATAACTAGCCACTCCCAAAATTAATTCCATGTGCTGAAAGAAGCTGCGACTCATCATACAAGAATAATCGACTCAAAATTGCGCAAGAAAATCTCACATTTCGAGTAGCATGAGCGTCTCCTTCAGTGACCGAAGACTGCGGTTTCTCATACTGCGTCACATTGGTGACAGGATTCCAGAAATACACATGCTCGTGTCCATCCACCACACCCAACAGGGCTTTCCACGGGACAGGCAACGTCGAGTCGGTAGGTGCAAACCGAATTCTTGTCGTCGCCATGTCGTTCTCTGCTTCCGACGACATACCAGAACGACACCCGCCGCTCGAAGAAGAAGACTCGGGCGCTTCCGCACTTCCTCGGCCATTTGGCGGCACTCCGATTCCAACGTCCACTTCGCGTTCGGGAGACGAGCAAACGTGTAAGATCGCCGCCGCCATCGTCCTAGAATTGTCCGTCAGACCAACACGACATCCAACAGTCGCGCGGCAAAAGCTGCCACCAGTCCTCCAGTCGCAACCAAATCTTTTAATTCCTCTGAGTGAAATTCTAATACTTGCCAAATGGAAGCTTAGCGAAGCTTTTAAGCTGAAGGAAAATACACTTACTTGATCCCAGATCAAATCTGCAATCATTCCGTAGAGATGGAGGTCAGGTGTATGTTGCAGATCATATTAATTGCGTGTAACCGAACCGCTGATCGTCACAAGCAAACGCTTTATACTTCCTCCACCGAATGAGTTTTGACGGCAGATCTTCTTGGATGCCATGAAAACCGAGATCTCGCCGTTCATCTGCGAGATGTCACCGAGGGAGAATGAGCTACGTACCGAAGCAACGATTGCAGATTCAATGGCATACGGAGTACCAATCACCATCAGCACCATGAGGACTAGAGGAGGGTGTGACAGTGGTTCATGTCACGGGTCATTTCTTTCTCGAGACGAGTTCACCATCACCATCAAATGGACCGACCGTACCATGATTGAGCGATGGAGCCATATTCAATCTGCGCCTCCAAACTCATTGATCTGTCCATCATGATTTCAAAATATATCGGGTGTATGTGGAAACAATTCCGTGAGTTGTAAGAGCTGTGAGTGATTTGTTTTTCTTTCCCGGGATTTGTATATACTTTGAAGGAGGTGAGGTTTGCGATTTCATTGCTTTGAAGAAAACTCTTAAGCTCTGCAATCGGGTTTCGAATTTCCTGTTGTAGATATCTCTTACAGATATTTTGCAAGTTTTACACTGGGATGGTATTGGGACCTGGCCCCATATATTCCCTTCTATGTTCGTCCATGTAAGTCTCGCTTGATGAGTCCTCTCAAACATGTTATTCTTTTGATTAATTCTCTCCACCGTAAATGTCCCATGTAGATTGATCACAAACCTGAGAATCGTCAATCTCGTGATTGTAAGTGGATTGAGAGAAAGTTTCAATCTTTTGATTTCCTTCAAGAACAATAACTTGCGAAGATTTGGTTTGATATTATTTATATTGTATCATAATTTCTATTTAAAAATCTCATCTAGTTTTTTTTATATAAATAATTAGAATTCAATAGAACAAGTGAAACGATCCCAAAAGTCAATCCTTACTTAATTTTAAGAATAATAGAACGATAATTAATGATATACTTTATATATAAATAAAAAAACTAACTTTAAGTACTAAAATAAATTTTACACATTAAAATATAAACAAATTTCATTTCTGAGTAAAAATGATATTACATACATATTCAATATATTCATCGTCACATAACTTATAAATACCTTCACTTCTATCAATACTAAACCAACGAATTCATCAAGCCTAAAAGATCCATCTCCTAAAGATGTAAGGACGAAAAAGAATCTTAAGGTTAATATTTTTATTCATAATAATCAAACATAGAATTCACATGAATCATCCCGTGTACACATGGTTCCAGGTACATATCCAATAACATAGATTGGAGGTACCAATCCCGCTCCGAATGAATATGAACTACCAGGTTCCAACGTAGAGAAGCTTACAGTTGCAGCGCTCTTGGCATCCTCACCAATAGACACTAGAAGAATATCAAGTACGAATAAGGTTCAAAGTTAAGAAAAAACACCAAGGAGCATGACATTTCGGGACAAACTTATATTGGTGCTTTCACCCGCGAAAATGCCGAGTAACCGCGTCAACATCGAAATGATCTATAAATTTTGTAATACTTTCTTCAGGTCGAAGTAAATCATTTCGATTCACTTATAAGTCGGATGGCTACGTTACACTACGCGCAGATTATAAAACGTTCTCGAATACTTTCTTACGGATTCCTCCAAGACGCTGTAATACGATTCGAAACATAACTCAATTGAACTATCTGCCTAACTGCAGGAAAACAGAATATCTCGACTTTTTTAAGAATTATAAATACTCAATCCAAAGCTCTGTCCAATCAACGCAGGAGGAACATCACGAGTTCAGAGGTAGCAGCGAATATTGCAATCCTCGTAAAGTGCGAAGTTGGGTGAGGACAAGATAAATGCACATCGACCAAGAGTTGACGTTTTGATCACTACAAACTCCATACAAACAACGAGAAAGTTTGGTTGAAAAAATTTGCTTTATAGACTCGATCACAGCTCAATTTACAACAGGCAACGCACAATTCCCGGACGTGTGATTTCCAGGACGTGTGATTTCGAATACTTTCCGCCTTCAATTATTCGTTTCCTCCAAATTCTTCTTCCAGCAAACAGGTCGCTCGGCAGAGGAAAACTGAGATCAGAAAATTCAGTTATATATGGCTACTAGCTTTGGTGACTGCAGTTCTCACTCCATAACACCTCCCACTCAATAATGGAGCACAACAATCTCCAGAGGTGTGAGGGAGTACCGTAGATATTGTTGTACTAGAACAACAACAATATCTCGTAACAGACTGCAGGGGACATTAATCTACCACCCAAGGTGAAAGGCCTTCATACAGCGGTATCAAGGTGAGGGTAGGTCTAGAGGATCATAAGTTCCTAAACTCATAACGACAACGCGTTTGGTATTATACACTGTCGAATCCTATGTAATCTAAAAGCATTGAGACGTAGTCTCCTGCTTGGTAACAAGCGATGGCTCCAACAAATCCTGTCGTGATTAGTGTAGATATTAGTTTAAAAGCACTTTGAAATGTTACACGCGCTTTACCCCAGCCCAGCAGAATTATACAAAAGAGGGCGAGCAAACTAGTCGCACCCATCTTGTAGTCCCTGTTACTCTCATTGCGGAAGCTGAAACCGTAAGTTAGCGGAGGCATCAAACCGAACAATATGTAAGAGAATACTGCGAGAAACCCGTTGAATCTGAAACTTGGGCCGACTTGCTGCTTAAATTGCGCCCTATCAGATCTGTATAGATTTGATATCTGCAAAACACAACAGCGACCAACACAATATCACCTCTTTCAGCTATTCAAATTCAGACAGTCTTCGTTCCTGAAAGAACTTCGGATTTTTAACATTCGAGTCAAGCATACGAAGACGCAATCGTCTTCGTAAGCTTGACTCAAATGAGAATGAGGACGCAATCGTCTTCATTCTGATGTTTTAAGCCTACTGTTTTCATTCACGAAGCCAACTCTGAAATTAGTTTTCTGAGTAATTTCGGATCCTTTTCCGATGATAGACTTACTCTGTGTATCAGTTTAGGGAGTTTATCTTCAGTTTAGACCAATATTTACATCTTGGTTTTTGACTGTAACAGTACACATTACTGAAGGAATATAATTTCAAGGCGAACTACGATGGGTGTATGCTCGAGACAGAAGAATAATGAGAGAGCAATGGGCGAGTGTGAAGATTTCTTACGATGCCGAGAAAGGGGAAAAAGCCGAAGATGAGGTTGGCCAAACCCATAATGATGACCGTTCCTGCATAAAATCAAAACTCTTTGTCAATACCTCCCCTTCAAGCGAAGTGAGTGGCTCAAAGTTATACACAGTCGATACTCTGTCGATGCATATAGCTCTAATTTAAATTTTGACTGTGTCAATTTGGAACTCTGTGTTCTAAAATCGGTAAATAGCAAGTCGCAAATTTTTACGTCACGTGATTCAGAGTTTTCTTGGGAAAGTGCTGCTCCGTTACTGTGAATTGCACACAGGCGCATCATTAGTGGTTGTTGGGACTTACTTGTCTTAGCGTCGGCTCCGGTGGAAGAAGCTACGACTCCGAGACTGATGAGGGTGGTATCAAGTCCACCGTAAACTATACTCTTCACGACCTCGAAACCATCGGAAGCAGCAGGAGCAATTCTTCCTGGGGTGAGAGGAGTCGTGCCCGAAACTGTAGCGTGCGCAGGAGGGATGTCAATGATGGACTCCGGGTGCTGCCCCAGGGTTTGTTGTTGACCTCCCAGAAGTGGTCTTGTCAGCTCATCAAACTCTGATTCATATTCAGCAAATTTCATAAGGGTCAGAAGGGTAAGAAGCAAGCCTGAAATTCCGCTAGAGCAGAGTGAACAATCTACAAGAACAGAGGGCAGTAATCTAAACACTAGGCCCATCCATCTGCCCACAATTACGGGGCTTCATGAGGTGGCGTTCAATGTTATGTTAGCATGGAGTCTTTACAAAGTCCAATGTGATAATCTCAAAGGTAGATGAAGGAATACTTTAACGAATGACTCTTGCCCATTGTAGGATTTCATCCCACACGAAGCAAGAGATGCTGCAGCCATACTGACTCACTACTTGGAATCAAGCAAAACAAATTTTGACGAAAGAGGACACGACTAAGCAACGCGTCTAGATAAAAGGTAGAAGGGGACGATGGAAGGACGAAGTAACGCCTGCGAGCTATTACAAATATGTCATGTCCAAGATGTGATGGGACTCACCGCCCCTGTCATTCTTTCGGTCCCAAGATAGGGACAGCATCGGCAGAGTGAAAGGGAGACAAGAGCATGATCGCTCACGTTCTCTTGCCTCGGACGGAGTGTGGACGCGAGTGTCAACTTGATGATCTGGCTTGTCTCGGGTCGAGGCTTCGTTCATCAAGGCCTGGGCTATCTCGCTGGCTTTCGTCTGCGATTTTCCCTCCGGCTTCTTTCTAATGAGTGGTGGGTCCGCTTGAATTTCACCCTCTGCAACCTCTTCCTCCTGGTCTGCGATTGTTGTTAACGGCTGCTTCAAGTCTTCCGCACCGACCACTTCAGAGGAAAGAATGTGTTTATTTTGGTCGAACTGCGTCTCAAAGTGAGTCACGTTCTTCTGAACCTCGATAGACTGTTCGATGTTGTTCTTCACATTTACAGTCGTGGTGACCGTCACAACGTGCCCCACGACGCGATTCTCCTCCCGTTGATAAGACGTGTATTCGTCTTTCGGAGGAGGCTCCTGTTCTTCTTTTGGAGCCTCAATGCTGACACTCGTCGAAGGTGCTGCTGATGTTGCATCTTCCGCCGCGGGAGGCACAATGATCGGAACCTCTTCTGAAAGGGACAACACATTTAGCAAAGTGTGAGTTACCTCCGGTGACCGTGCACTCTTCAATCGCGAATGGTCCAATCATTACCTTGCTGACAACTGAGAACTGAATGACCATCCAAATTTCCAAGGACATGCCACTTGCTGAACGACTATAAAGCGCAGAAAATCACAACACCAGCCGGCACGCTGTCAGCTGCTCTTGCTACTATGCCATCCTCTGGATGAAAAATAACTTCAGAGCCCATTTTCGAAGATTATGTCATTCCTCAGCAGACTTCAATAATATCAGAATCTGCAGATAACTGAGGTCCCAGTGAGAAAAGCGAGAATTGAATTCGCTTCCCTCCTGGAACTTCAGTGCAGGATAGGCAGTGTCTGCAGGAGTTACTGACTCACAGTTACTGAGTCAATTCCTATGAGTAGATTCTCTCCCCTGACGACACATAGAACGCATACAATTAATGCAAAGTTGGTGTGTGGAGCTCACCAATTGGAGGGGTTTCCACAGGTTTACGGCCCCGCTTGAAAGATGGCAATATAATGTCCATGACGCCGCAGCAAGAGCACGGCTCAGCTGTCGGTTTATGAGGCAGCTCTGGCGCTGAAAGCCCCTTCGGAGATTTTAGTAGAAGAGGAGTTGTAAGTCCATCATCCACCAAAGGAAGAGCGACTGCAGGGGCAACAATTGCCGGCAAGGGTTCACCGATGTCAACGATCTCGTCGTCAGAGTCCACTTCGACGGGAACGTAATGAGTCTTTCGAGGTGGACGATCAGCCGAGGGAAGGGCAGGCTTTGGTTTCGCAGGTGAAACGGTGGTAGTTTCGTCAAAGTCCCAGAAGACACGGATAGATCGGCGGTGCAGAGTGTCCATGTCTGGATACGACATAATCTTCCAAGGCTGTGGGTGGACGACGATAGTAGGCTTGGCCTCGATGGGCATCGAAGAAGGTTTCCTACTGCTGAACAGAGGCAGACACCTGCTGTCTTCCTTCGCTGGTGGCAGCGGCTGCGCTGCTTCCGATGGCTCAGGCGTCTGGACGCCCTCGTCGTGAGATGGTGTTGGCTCCGGTGGAGGCGACTCTTCGGGAGGGCTACGTACTCCATCATCCGGCGGTGTGCCAATATCTGTATCTGTAACTTCAGGTTCATTCTTCTCCTCCGATAGAATTACACTCACAGGAGAAGGTGGACGAATTTCGTCGAGTGGTGGCTTGCCCTCAGTCGTGCGAGCTCTCCAAAATAACTTCGGCACAGTTGAAAGCCAATTGATTCTCTCATCAGCGGGCAGTACCTTCGGTGCTTCTGGTGAGTCTACAAATCCCGACACGACGCTCCTCAAGTCGGGTTGTTCGGCGGAGTCTGTCAATGTTTTGCTCCGTGTAAGAACATCTAGGTTCACTTGTGCGCTGGACCAGTCTCGAGATCGGACCTCCTCTTGCTGGATCTCAGGTTCCTCTTGGACTGGTGTAATTTCTGCCTTGACAGCGATGTCGACTTTTACCGTGGACACTGCAGGTGGAGGCGGCTCGACCTTGGGCTCTTGTGGAATCGACAGTTTTTCAGGACCTTCAGATGCGGGTGATGTAATCTCCCCGGTCGAAACTGGTAGCGGCTCCTCCTCCTGCAATGCAGGTTGTTCAACGCTCTCGGCTGGAGGTACAGGAACTTCAGGTTTAACTTCTGTCCATGCCCAGATTGTTTTCGGAAACGGTTAGAAGCTGAAAGTAGGATACAGTCCGAGACAATCCACGAGCAGACGAGCCTGAACACGTACTGAATTGATCCTCCTACAACTTTGCTGGGAAGATTTTGGGTTTACCTTGCGGAGGTTTCTTCGGGACCGGAGAACTCTTGTTTCTGCGCAAGTAATCGAAGCAGCTGACTGAATCCTTCTCATCTTCACGAGTCGCAGGGATTTGTGACTCAACCGTAGGAGGGGTGACAGGCTCGGGGATGTCGCTTGTGGGAAGCAGCGGTTCCACTAGTGCTGCAATATTCAGATAAACGGTTCTTTGAGATTTCTTTGAACGAGAGGACCTCAGAGCAAAAACTTGAATTCTCGAGTGCAAGCATTTGCACACTTCCTAAAGATTCAGATGCGTTACCTCCACTGCCAACTAAAAGCAAACAACGAAAGTAAAACTCCTTCACGAAATTCGAGGTGACAGCTGAGAACTGCACTTAATTTGTCCTACTCATTCCAAGTCTGTGCAGCAAAGTTGTAAGAGGATCAAACACCACGTTGTTTGCTCATACCTGGGTCATCAACTTGGTAGTTGCGACTTGGTTCCACCGCTGGAAGTGAATTGGTTCGCCATAGAAATTTAGGACATATGAATTCTAGACAGCTGGTTCTTTCTCTCGACTCGGCCTCCGGTCCTGTAACGAATACGAGCACATCAATCGTTAATGCAAAATGGAACAAACAGGACAACAAAGAACGAAGATGCCATGAACAATCGCCAGAAGCTTTGGAACGGGGTGCTGCCAAGAGGAAAGCAGCGAAAAAAAGATCGGCTGTCCATGAAATTGCAGCGATGCTAACACTTCGCACGAAAATTGCGAGAATCTCACCTGGGAAAAATACGGAGAAGCAGGACAAACAGCCCCAACCCCAACTGTCACGTTCAGGTTCAGGTTCAAGTTCGCGTTCACGTACTGGCTCGGCGAGGGGAGAGGCAGGATCAATTTCCTCCCACTTGGAGTCATACTTCGGAATTTCAGTTCTCTTCCTCTTCCGCAGAATGACTCGCTTGGTGATACATGACCCACACACGGGGCACATGATGTCATGGGTGTTCTGGTGGTGAACTACCCGCTCAACGTCGTACTCGACCACTGGCTGCGAGTTTGAGGAGCTCGCTATAGACACAGGATGCGAATTTGAAGAGCTTGCTAAATCCACAAATTGCGAAATTGAGTAGTTTGAAGAGCTTGCTACATCCACGGATTTCGAAATTGAGTAGTTTGCAACAGCCACGAGATGCGGACGAGGAGAGCTTGCCGCAGACACGGGATGCGAGTTTGGCGAGCTTGCAGCAGCCACGGGATGCGGACTCGAAGAGGTTTCCAAAGAAGCTGGATGCGAATTTGGAGAGCTTGCAGCAGCCACGGGAGGCGGACTCGAGGAGCTTTCCACAGCCACGGGATGCGACTTTGGAGAGCTTACAGCATCCATGGGAGGCGAACTCGAAGAGCTTTCCACAGCCACGGGATGCGATTTTGGAGAGCTAACAGCATCCACGGGAGGCGAACTCGAAGAGCTTTCCACAGACACGGGATGCGAATCCGGGGAGCTTGCAACAGCCCCGGCATGCGGACTTGATGTGCTTGCTTCGGAGTCTGCGACTTCAACATCATCATCCTTGCTGACCTCTCTACTGTTGTCTGTGATGGTGTCAATGGAACTCTGACTCTGCGTATCATCCACAGGCTTCAGTCTGTGTTTCAATTGAAGTGGCCTCTTGTCTTCGAACGACGATCTGCTAGTTATTGGCTTATGACCGTCCAGTACGTCACTGCTCGTAATCTCGGCCCAGTACATCTGCCTGGCTTTAAAATCCTTCTCTTTTATTGAACTGCCGACAACAGCCACTTGATGCACGGGACCAGAGCTCGTTCCGGGTGTTCCCTCGGGCGTGGTCTCTCCGTTCATTGTCGTTGTCGCAGTAAAGGTGGGTGTGATGGCCGTGTGAATGTCTTCGGGTGTTTCGGGCACACGGATTTCCACCCTAGTCCGAATCCTTGGCGGAGGAGCTGGATCGTCCGTCATGCCTTCCATCAATTCATCTTGTACAGCATTGCGAGATCTCCATGGTGAAGCCGAGGCAGATTCGCCAACGGAGCTATGTCTTGAGTCTCCCGCATCTGGAATTTCCAGCTCCACAGAAAAAACGGGCTGTCGGAAACCAGAAACTGGAGTTCGCTCGACCTGGGATGTCCTTCCTGGTGTTCCTCTATCAATATCACTGTCATCACCCGCTGACGAACTGCTTGATGAGGATGAAGAAGATTCCGACTTGTTATCGCCCAGTATACTTCTTGGAGTGCCGACGAGGACACGGCTCCCTGTGTCTTCATCAGAACCAGGAACCGTGATTTCAGGCTTCACAAATTTGGAGAGATCGGTGCTGCCCATCAAATTGTCTGGTTTCGAACTACTTGAATCTGCGAGCTCTGCATTACTATGGTCTCTGGTCGCAATTGGACTAAACGAATCATCAACATCCTCGATGTTAAGTGAGCTAATCTCACGGTCACTTCTGGAGAAAACTTTCTCCTCGCCATCGGTGTTTCCGTTCTCTATACCAACACCGCCTATCGAATGGTCTGCTCCGTCTTGGTCAACAGCAGGCAATGAGTTTTCCATATCTAGTTCCTCTTTAGATCCCCCGTTCCTCTCATCTCTTTCACCGTCTTCCGTTCCTCCGGATTTCTCGAGCGTCATAGTTTCTACTGGTTTGTCAGAGAAGCTATCCTCCTGGCCACCATCTCCAATATCGTCTTCATCGACACGGTTTGCTTCGCTTTGGAGACCTGGAAACTCGATGCTCGGATCTACCGTACCCTCAGCTTCATCTTGAAGCTCGCCTCTCCTGAGGGCTTCGTTATCGTCGGCACCTCCAGCTGACATTTGGTGCTCTGGGCCCTCAGGACGATCTGACTTGACATAGGACTCCCTGGCGTCTCCCGGCTCTTGCATATCCTCCGTGTTTCCTAGTTCGTCAGTCTCGACTTGATCAAAATCGCCGTTTCCTGATATTCCGTTGTCATGATCGACTTGTGTTTCCTGTCCCTCGGCATCATTATCTGCAACTTCATCGGATCCATCTACAACAAGTGGGTTGTACGGTCTCTCGATTCCTCGGGAATTGCCTTCCCCAGATTCCGCGTAAGATTTGGAAACATGTTCTCCATTGGGCTTAGTTTCCGTGGCCTCCCCATCATTCTCACGATCGTCTGTACCTTCCGCCACAGCTACATTGGCGAAATCTAAAGCCTCTCTATCTTCGAGCTCCTGGTCAGAAGTAATTGGAGCCTTATCGATCTCCATGGCTACGTTGCGGACTACAGGCCGTGGCCCTGCACAGGAAAATGAGGCCCATCATAAGTCGACGGAAGGAATAAACAAATGCACGATTTCAGCCTAGAGAAGCCTCGGGACCTACACACCAGACTGAAGACAAGTTCCGGTTGACTTTCACGTGAAGACTTAGTGGCGGTCGCAGATGGCCCACCCTCGCCCACTTGCAAGGTGCATCTCACGGCGGGTGTGTGAGTGCACGAGCGGGACTCCATGTCAACTCGTAAAGCTGAGAAGGATCCTAATTACCACCTAGTAGTCAGTCATGGAACATTCTGGTGGCGCTGCTGGGCCATCTAGCAGGGCATTCGACGCACCTTCTTCTATTGGACCCTGGAGGTCCTGATCACCGGGATCGATCACTTGCAACCACTGCTGGACAGTCTGAATTTTCCCACATTTCTTCTTATGGTCGCGCCGGGTTCGTGCACTCGGGTTTGGGGTTGGATATATCCAATCGCAGTGTCGACATCGCTGAACACCTGCATGTTCAGAGCTCATCACCTGTCTCAAGAAGGAATGACAAGTCTACATATTCTTACAAAGCAATCGAGCTCTGCAGCACTCTAATGCGACGTGCACCCCACACAGGCAATGCGATGTGCGAGAATCTGAACGATCACAGTCGGGCGGCATGTGCATGGAAACGGTGGAGAAGGTGACAGAGAGGAAATGTGGGCGGGGCTCGTCGACCCGACGAGCTTCCCAAACACAAGAATGTAGCTGGCAGCCAGATGACCTAAGGCCTACCTGCTTCCTCATCCAAGAAGGCACTCTTCATCCTCTTGCCCTTCGGCGAGGAAGGATTCTGCTGCACCCTCGAGCTCCCCGACTTCCTCTCCAGCTTCCCCAGCACCGTGAGTGTCGGATCAGACGAGCTCTGCTCATCTACAGCTTTGCCCCTATCGGACACCGAAGGCGACGACGGTGCGCTGGAATCATTATGGCTGAAACTATAGCGCGCCCAACCAGGCGACGATGTGTCGTTGGAAGTCGTCCGAGACATGGTCGTGCTCCAGCAAGGGACCCGCCGATCACTGTCCTCTTCTAGCAAGAGTGGCAAATCTTCTCGAGTCCCTCCGCCGCAGACGAGCAGTGGAGACAGACAGGCCTACGCTTCGAACGACCCCAATATTTTGCATCTCTGAGGCCCGCCAGGTCGGCGATTCGGTCTACGATTTCACGAGCACTGCATTGATCCGCGGGACATCGAACGCGAGTCGACGAGTCGGTCGGTAAGAGATAGCAAGTCAGGGCGCAGGATTCATGCACACCTCCGCCTCGGGCCTGTGACGGGGCGATTGTGGAGCATTGCATTGGGAACACGAGCCCGAACCGTGGCTGGACACGACATCTCGGAACGAGTAATAATTATCGAATCCACACATGGGCGACCAGAAGGTGAAGGTGAAGGCGAGGGCGAGTCAACCGACGAGTGGCCGCTGCCGAGACAGGACAGTCAAACGGGGCGGCGAGCACACATGAGGTGAGGGACTGGACACCGACCTGAGCTAGTAGAAGAACTGCTGACGACGCGGATTGCTGTAATCTACGCTAAAACGCCTCCCACCCTCCTCCTCCCCCTCCTCCTCCTCCTCCTGCCCCTCTCCTTATACCGTAACGACATTTTGAATGCCGTGGTCGATTCCCATGGTAGCCACGCCAAGCAGATGCAAAGTAGGCAACGCGACGAGCGAGCGAGCGCGCGAGCGCGCGATCAAACAAGCGAAGGCCGCTTTACCGCCCGACCCTCAGCCGCTCAGCCGTTCAGAACCGCAATGACATTGGCGCTCGTAGTCGACAATAGATCCTCTCCCCTCGTCACCCCGAGCCACGCCTACCTCCTCACCATCATCATTTCCCCCACTTTTTTACAATTACTCCCTCTCCTGCCAGATCTCGAGATGGAGCCGATCCGAGCCGTGACCTGGTCCACGGCTCAGAGCTCTGAGCTTATTTATGAACGAGTGCAAATCTCCAGTACGTCACTCTCGCTGGCCTGCCTGCCTGCCCTCGATACGGGACCCCCTCTAGCTAAGCTCCTGAGCTCCCCCCACTTCCTCTGCGACCGTGTTACCGATCGCTGGGACGACGACAAACGAGACAGCCGAATCTCAACCGGAAAAGCGCTCGATCTCGCTCTCCCTACTGCGACCCCCACCACGCTGGCCACGAACGCCAGACCACACAACAACGGCAGCACATGCACCACGTCCAAGTCCTCGTCCTCGTCGTCTTCCTCGAGCTGATTAGTAAAGTGATGGTAATAAGTATGAGGAGGAGGAGGAGGATGATGATGATGATTGTGGTCGCGGTTGTTGTCGTCGTCGTCTGCGAGTCCGTCCACCTCTCACCTCGTCGTCACCTTCTCTCGACGAAGTCTTGGCCGATTGTGCAGTTCTGGCGCGCGCGGCTGCAGCAGTAATGGCGATGGGGCGGGCGAGCGAGCGCGGGTCGCAGTCGCGAGGGCTGCTGCTGCTGCGAGGGGCAGCAGTGAGTGAGTGGGTACGACGACGGAGGACGAGACAGAATATAAAGCTCGAGATCTCGAGATCTCGCTCGACCTCGACCTCGACCTCGTTCGCCGGCGCCACTGCGATGCCGGCTGCTGGCCCCGATACGACAAGGCTCGGCTTCGACCCGGAGGATGCACAGGACTTCACTCTCTCTCACTCACTCCGGAGAATGTTGGACCGTTCTTGTGCCCTGTAGCTGCGTTCGGCGTAAGAACTATATCTACGGCGACTGACCCTTGACCGCCGGTGCTGCCCGGTTCTGGTGTCGAGCTTCACGTTGCGGATTCAGGGCTCGAGAGCTTTCGGGCCCCCATTCCCTCGGTATGTTCTTGTACCCTGCTCGCCCCTCAGGATCCGACAACCGCGCCACGTTCTCAGGGCGACTGACGCAGTCGCCTTCCGCGGCGAGGCGCTCTCGAGGCGCTCCCATGTGTACGGCCCCAGCGCGATCCCCGGGACGGCCGGGATCCCCGCTCCAAACTTGGAATCCGCTTCAGGATCACGTCTTGGAGGATGGATGATGTGAGTTAGCGTGCGACTACGACTACGACTGCGAGCGGGATGAACCGATGTGCTGTGCAGTTTAACCATGTAAGGTTCTCGATGCCGGAGGATGGCCGGGCTGGGCTTGGGGACACGGCTCGTGCGCGGCGTAAATCCGACGTTGTTACGATGCCGAACGGCGTGAACCATTCAGGTGCCCGAATGCCCGCCCTGGTGAACGCGAAGCACATTGATGCGATTGAACCTTCGATTCGCGATTCGAGATTCGCACATGCCCGACATATGCTGTCCGACTGGAATTCCTGCCGACGTGTGAATCTGTCTCCTCGTGAATCTTACACGGGCACTCTTCTGAGCGATGTTCGCAGCATGAGATGTCCTGAATCGTCCCTGTTCCTGCACGGGCCATTGCCCGATGCACAATTCGACGCGCGAGTCTTGCGGGAGTCGTCGCTGCTCAACAACATTGTCGAGGCTCGCTTAGCCCCGAGTACTCACTCTGACGAGGTGAACGTGAACTTCACTGCGCGTGATTTTTACTTTGCCTGGTTGATACTGTACCCGGTTGCCATAAGCTGACCCCTCCTCCTCTATTCGGAGGGTACACTGTACTACGTGGACATGACTTACTGTACTTGAGCGATAAAGCTTTTGCCACAAATTGGCGATCAAATATCGAGCACATTAAAAAAAATATTTATGCCGAAATTATTTATGCGAACGCTGTGCCAAAAAGAAAAAAAGGGTCGGAAAATTTAGGCTTCAAGGTCTGAGGCACTCTATCATTCCTACATGGAACTGCGTTGAAATTGAAAAAATCAACTCCAACTATCATAGAATGACAAAGAGTCAATAAGGCTCCACGCAATTTATACCTTTGCCATATTATCTAAAAAGCCGCAATATCTCCAAATTCATAGGGCCTTCCTTCATTCGTTTGTGAATTATATCACCTACAAATGGATTATATCGAACTGATGATGAACGAGCGAGTGATGGATTTTGTTTCTGTGTCTATGTCCCCTACTGACTAGGGAATTAAAATTTGGACTTCAAGCGGCTGACGAGCTGAAAAGGCTGTACCCATGCAAGCGGCCCAACATAGTCTGTGAATGCGTGTGGATAGCGAGGACTCCTGTTTTTTTGTGTATAATGGTTTCACGCTGGGACCCTCAGATACCCACGGGAGGTATCCAGGAGCTTTTCTTCTTCGTGGGAGACAAATCTGTAGAGCCCAGCGGGATAGAAAATGAGTAGTGAGGAAGTTCGGAATCGGGGAATCTCATGCCCATGAGACCCTGCATTGATGATGATATTAATTAAGGTGAACCCGTGACTGACTTTCTGAACCTAGTGTGAGCCAGCCTCCATACACGTGGAATTCATTCATGAGCCAATCCTGTACAGTGCTCTGTGCCGATAACCCCGAGGGTTACACTTCAATCCGAAACCGATGAAACGCTTAATAATGACTCCTGAAATGCTTTAGGACATATTTCCACTGTTCTGATGATGGGGCTTGCCCGTTTTGGTTGCAATATTGTAGGGCTCGATGAGTCCTCAACGTTGCTTTTTACAGTGTACTCTTCAAACGTTTGAGGTCTACCGACTGAAGTTACTCGAATGAATGGGCGAAATAATTTCAACATCACCGTCGCATATTCGCCAGCTTAACGCGCAATCTCTTGAAGTTCACATGAAGCTTTTCGTTTTTGTGTCTTGATTTAATCCAGTGCACAAGAACTTAAGAATGAAGAATGGCCTCCACACTTTCATATACAACTGATTCATCATATTTTTTCGACAAGAATAGAATTCATGCTGTTAGTTGGTAATAAATACGAGAAAATTTTAATCATAGTTTATATTCCAAGTAATTTTCGAATTTTTATTGACAACGATTTAGAATTATGATATGGACAAATCCAAATTATAATAACTCTTTAGACACGTGTAATTGGAAGAAAATACTTGATAGAACCCTGGAAACTTAATGGGACCCAACAGGTTTCATTTTCAATAGTTGACGGTGGGTCCCATCCTCAGCCATGTTCTTATAACCTATTGAATTGCTCTATAGAGTGGGGAGTGTCCGTCACTGTCGGGCCAGAGTATTTTGGCGACTCCTTCGCAGCCATATCTAAGAAAACTACGGGCACCATGAATCTGAACCGTGACTTTATCTTTCTACTCGAAATCACCCAAGATAGTACTAGAGTATCACTTACGGTGGGGCTGGCCATGGGGTCGATAGGGTAAAATGAAACCTGTTTATGTCCATAAAGTGTTTTGAGTTTCCCTGGGTCCCATCAAATAATTTACTCCCTGTAATTGATTCAAAGAGTAAGAAAAATCCATTTTTAGTGTGACATCTTCAACTGACCTCATACCAAGTTTGCTTCATCTCATCTTTGCGCCATAAATTCCCAAAACAACACTCTGAATCTCCAACTGTCATCGTTGGTGTAAGATAATCAAGATCAATATTCTTCAAATGTATATGATTGAATTTCATTGAAACTTGTATGAGATACGGATCTTGTAATTATGGAATGTTAATAAATCGATGTTTTAACTATTTTCCAAAGATATAATATAAAAAAAATTAAACATTATTATTAAACTATATATCAAGATAAATTGTATTTAATTATATTTTCCAGAGAATTGGTAGAAAATTTATCATAATTGAACATCGGATGAAATATTGCTATATACTGTACAACTAAGATGTAAGTGTTTACTCTTAGCATCACATGATATACATCTGCTTCAAAAAAATTAATTTGCATCATAGTGATATCATGATTACGTAAGAAAATGAATAACTCGAAATATGTAGTATAATTCACACGTAGTAAACTAATAACATTTCATTTCGATTCTGATTGAACTTTCATAATCTAAACATGTCTAATGCATAATATAAAAACCATCACTTACACATTTGAGGTCAGAATTCAATTTCTATTATATGATTAAAAATAAACTAAATTTATAACTAAATTTTTATATATAAAAATTTTAATGTTGTTTAATTATGCCTCGTCATACCTTGTATTTCATTCACTATCTATTACAATGATAATTTATACGTTTCTTCACTTCGATTGAATATCTTATATGTCATAAGTAGTTTAAATTTTTTCCCATTACTATGAATTTTATTGAAAATTTAGTATTATTATTATTGAAAAATACTTTCAATAATATCTGAACGTGATGTCACTTGAACCTGAAATCGGGAAGTCAAAAGTCAAAAACTCCCGATGGCCATCCGATATGCGTCCGAAGAACGACGTCCCGCGTCGTCACGCCTAACAGACGCCTCGTCGTCGTCGTCGTTTGTCTGTTTGGATCGGCCAGCGCCATCCGGGAGTCCGTGACCGAGGGGTGCACGGTCTTCGATTACATAAATCGCTTGGATAATGTTTAATCAAAAACTGCACTTTATTAATGTTTATTTGT